GCAGTACGATACTTCTCGCCCTACGCTTTTATATGGTTGAATGTTTCCAAGAGTATTATGGCAGTACGATACTTCTCGCCCTACGCTTTTATATGGTTGAATGTTTCCAAGAGTATTATGGCAGTACGATACTTCTCGCCCTACGCTTTTAAATGCTGTATCTTGAGAAGAAAAGCAATAGGGAAGAAAATAAATGCGATTATAAAAAACACACACACACAAACTGAATACGAAATAAAAGCTTATCTTCCAAAAATAAAAAAAATAATTTACCCTAACATGCATAATACATTTTCAAAATGGTGGAACTAAACGAAAAGAATATCAGACTTAGACTATTTTGTGTAAAAAGTATTGTAAACCCACTTTCAGGTGTAAGTGTTACTTTAATGAGGCTACGTTTATATATTTCGGTATATTTATATGCAGGTCTTCGGGAGTGTAATAGACTGAAATGTATTTAAAATCTTTCTTCTGAGAAAACAACTTTGTTGAACGTGAACCTGAATTTAAGAAACATATTTTCTACTGTGCTATTAAAAACCAAATAGTTTTTACATTTTGGTTTTCTTATAAAAACCTTTTCTCACAATTGCTACATGAATCAATTACTTTACATTTGAACCCGTGCGATACCACAAAATATTCGCTGAACTTTAAACTATGGGTTATAAAAGTGACAGCCAATCCCACAACGTGAATAGTGGGTGGTAGTGGTGCTATATGACTGACTGCCTTTCCTTTGGCCAGTTGGTCGAAATTATTGATGGCAGCAGCTAGCATTAGAAGTTTTGTCATAAATACAAATAATTTTCGTTTAGATACTGCATTAAGATAATATTTGCGTTAATACATTTCTAAGTTTTAAACATTATCCATAGGTTCGTGGTTTTGTTTGAAGTTAATCACAAAGCTACACAATGGGCTATCTGTGCTCTGCCCACCACGGGTATCGGTTTCTAGCGTTGTAAGTCCGCAGACATAGCGCTGTGCCACTGGGGGCACCACTTGGTAAATTGAAGTTGTGAGATTAAACTTCCGGATCCACATAAGACAATGTTGTTCACACATAAGACAATGTTGTCCTCAAGTGATACCTACTTTCACGTGTCCGTGTATATTTATTGTGGAGAAACATTTCATTACAAAATAGTGGAAGATTACAATTAGTCAGAAAGTTTTTAACGGATTTGTTTGGGAACAATGTTTCGACTGAAACGTTTACTTTAACCAGGTTTGTTGAGTCCGATTTAATAACCTTCCTGCTGTTTTACATTGTTTTTATTTTTAAAATATATCAATGGAAGATTGTAATTAATCAGAAAATTTTAATGGATTTCATTCTCCTGTTTGAAGACAACGTTCCGATCAAAGCGTTTAGTTTGTTGTGAATTTCGCGCAAAGCTCACGAGGGCTATCTGCGCTAGCCGTCCCTAATTTAGCAGTGAAAGACTAGAAGAAAGGCAGCTAATCATCAACACCCACCGCCGACTCTTGGGCTACTCTTTTACCAACGAAAAGTGGGATTGACTGTCACATTATAAAGCCCCCACAGCTGAAAGGGCGAGCATGTTTGGTGGAACGGGGACCGATTAAAGTGTTATCTCCGAACAATTTATTAAGTCCGTCGTAATACCCTTACAATTGTATCATGTGTTATTTTTAAAGATTTATAGACATAATATTGTAATTAACCAGAAAGCTTTTGATTAACTTCATTCTATTTTTTGGAAACAACTTGTCGATCGAACGTCGACTTCAAACAGTACATTACGCCTGCTGTAATAATCTAATTTAAACAGGCGCTTTTTCAGATATGTTTATCATATGTCATACAAGTTTATAATCTATAAGGCAATCTGTTTAACATGAAGGCCACGAGACTCAAATCATGGTGATATATGTTCACTAGAGGGCGTAAGGTTCGGTGCTGTGAAGTTAATCTCGCCTAGTAGCAGTAGCAGAAACTTCGTCGACAATCTTTGTGAGGCCTAATTACATATGTAAATTATATTAACAGCGATAGCGACTGTCAACAAGTACAGTGACAAAACCACGTCACTTTTACAAAAAGCAAGCCAATAGCTAGTCTGTAAGTCTATGTTAATACTTTTGAGGATCACAGTGGCCGTGGCATATGTTCTTGTGCTACTATAACAAAAATAGCTGTTCATATTCTGTTGACAGTTTTTACCCATATATAAATATGTATGTTTGCATATATAAAATTAAATCATATTAAGGGAGTCAGAAACAACTCAGTGCTGGAGCTCTTATGGTTGTTCAAATAACATTTTAGTGTACGACAATCGACGTCTATATCTGATGAGATGTTGTATTCACGCCTATGTCGTTGCCATGGTGATGAATAGGAAACACTGGCAATGAACACCTGTGCTGAAGAATAAGAATTAAACCTTAAGTATCCCGTGCATAACACAAAGTTATTCCTTTAAAGCTCTCTTGCTTGATTTATGCTACTACTTTAAAAACTTTCAATTTTAGGGTCGAAATTCCGAGTTTTTAAACGGCGAAAGACAAGGATTCTTGA